GGATGTACACAAGGAAAAGAATTATTCAAATGTACTTGACCTTATATCCCCGTGTAGAAGGAAACTTAAATCAAGAAAATCTTAAGTCAAGGAACATGGAATCTTCCAGTTTTTTCCAAAGATAAAAGTATATGAAGCCAAAAATTTAGTTAGACATAATAAATACTTATAAAGACTACAGGCACAAAAAAGAACTATTGTGGACAAAGTAATCCATTTCAATTTCAGGTTGAAATAACTTTTTGGAAACATGAAAAAATATATAAAATAACTGAACACTTGTGAGGAGATGGCCTGTGAGTGAGAAAGAGGGATTTTTGCAGGGGGCATTATATTTTAATTTCTCCACCCCTATTAAAATTTCAAGTGTTCACCCATTTGTCAGTTGGAAACTGGCCAGTGAATACATCTGCTTCTCCTGGTTGCTTAGAGCATTCAACGAGAGAAACTTCTCTTTAGCTTCTCTTGCAAATGTCCAAACTGTTGGGAGTGATAAGAGACAACTGTTTTATAGGCAAGTAGACACTTTGCTCACCCATTGTCAGTACTGGCCTTTTCTTTTTGGCTGTTCCGTGCCACTAGCTTTCCTCATAATTTGTTTTTTCTTATTCTCTACCTTGTATTTCAATAAATTATTGTCATAGCTACGACCCAATCAAACCTGCTTCTTCCAGACTTCTTAACTATAGGAATTTGGTTTGTCTCTTGCCTTAACTTTCATTAGAAATCTTTTGCTCCATTGGCAACCCCAGAATATCCTCTTGACTTCTATTTCTTTGGTAGTATACTTGTTACACTTACCTGTGTTAAATAAGGAGTAGCAAGTAGCTCTTCATTTCTCTCTACTCTTCTTTCATTTTTTACTTCAGTTCTTCTTCTAGTGGCAGTCATTTTCTGTACAAGCCTGTACTTCCTATCAATTTCAGTAAATGTTAATTAGGCAAATGTGTCTTTTCAGACCCATGGGATGACCCTATAGGAATTTGGTTTGTCTCTCTCCTTAACATTCATTAGAAATCTCTTGTTCCACTGACAACCCCAGAACGTCCTATTGTATCTGGCAATAAACAAGCAACTTCTATTTCTTTTGTAGGATACTTGTCACACTTGCCTGCATTAAATTAGGAACAGCAACTGCCCCATGGGATGAAGTTTAATCACTTCAAGATGTTAATGAGGCCTGGCTTGCTTGGAAAAACGTATTTACCACGCTCTGCAATAAACATGCTCCTTTTGTAGCCAAAAAGGTGCAAGGTCAAATCTGCCCACGGATATCGAGTACAATCAAATCCATGATGCACCAGAGAGAAAATTTTTGGAAGAAAGCTTGTCAAACAAAAAACGAACTTTATCGGTGTTCGAAGCGGCGGATTCGTAATGCTGTGAACAAAAAAAGGGCGCTACCATCAACAATTACTTGAAGAGAACATTGCCAATCCAAACCGCTTCTGGAAAACTGTAAAAAAGATTGGCACAGAGTGCTCCAATCAAGAGGTAAACCTATGACCTTCGTACACCGCTCATTAAGCTTACATGTCAGACACATCTCTGAACTACAGAAGACTTACTGGAGCTATAACATATTACTACAGGTAGGTTTAAATGTGGTAAACTACACACAACAAAATAGTGAAGATTATCCCTGCTCAAATTATAAAACTGCTTAATCTATTTTAATATTATGTTATATAGGTACATGTATTCACATCTCATCCCTGGATCTCGGTACTTCTTCGCTGCACTATACCTTCCAAATCTTGTCCTTCACGTGGTACAAAATAGAAATCTCTCTCGCTTTTAGGGTCAAAACATACATAACTTTCAAGTTTCTTACCCTCCCCATATCCTTCCAGGTGTGTGTCGTTTACACAATATTCTTGTCAACCACATCACTGACAAAAATACCACGAAACTCAACCAAAAGACATGGAAAAGAGCAAAGATGGCGCCCAACTAGCCGATAGAGAGAGAGGACTGGAACAAGTAACTGGAGTAATACCACTTCATGTAAGCTTGAATAAAATATCTTTAAAAAAACAAACCGTGATCAGCGGTGTTGCATCTAAAACAGCCAATACATGATTGTTACACCAAGTGCCCAGGAAAAAAATCGAATATGGCGTCCTCTGCTGTGAAAGAGCTTAGAGCGTGTACCTCTTTAATAAGACAATGCTGCTCTAACTGGAAAGTTTTCCCCCAAAGCAACGTCACAAAGAGTGTTGCTGTTGTATCAGGTATCAACAAATGTGTTCTCATGGCTTTAATCTAGAAATTTATCAAGTGATTTTTTTAGCTCGTTGCATAACACAACTCGCTTACTAGTTTTGCATGTTGACAAATTCTCCCGAGAGTATTCCAAGAAAAAAATCATTTAATTTTGCAAATCAAACTATAAGCCTATATCTTTAGTACAGTGTACTCTGCAATTGTTTCCCAGCTTCTCCACTCACTCCCTGATTGATTTTGTGCAACACATTATTGGGTTTCTTTGAAAGCTGTGAAATATTGCCCCCTCTCTTTTGCTAAAACTGGTTTCTCACCAAGCCGGTGTTAATTCTGTGCCCTCTGTTAACATAGTAAACTCATCAAATGAAGATGAGCTTGAGTAAGGTGCATGACAGGTTAACATAGTGGCTAAAGATTAAATCAACTACCAACTTTGTGAGTGGCAACTGCTGGGCTTCACCATTCTGACAAAATCCTAAGAATTCTTGACTATCAATGTACTTACCTACTTGTCAAAGAGGAGGAAGAAGGAGGGGTCACAAAATACCACTGCGGGGAAACAACAGTTTCAGAGGTCTCAAGGACATACTGTTGGTCATGTAAATTTTGTTGTTTGAGAGAAAAATCCATACCCCTCCCAAGGAAATAGATGTTTTTTTAGTTTCACCTGCCCCTCCTCCCACCCCCATGGAAATTCCAGTTTAGTTTCATACTTTCCTTTAATTGTTTAAAAAATTTTAGAATTTCCCTTATCCTTTCTTGGAGTGGGTATGGATATTTTCTTGATCTGCACATTCACTGTTGAACACCATATTGGCACAATGAAAATTCACATGTCTCTTTCAGATTCACAGCTGCATGCCCGGTAAAATTATACAGTTATTGCTAAACAAGTACATTATAGTGTGTGGAGTTATTCTTATCATTTCATTCGGTATCTTGTGAAGACTTTAATTTGTAATTTTGCCACAGGTGTGAGATATTACAGAGGAAGCAACAGAGACAAAAGAAGGCGAGAAAGAAACCTTCAGGAAAGACTTAAAAAACGAGAAGGTGTTCAGCCACTGTGAGTACAATAATTTTGCAAGTGATTATTTACTCACGATATTGGCATGAGTCACATACATTGTGTGCTAATCTCAGACCTCAGTACAATAAAACATACAGACTTGATTATGGACTAGAGTTCATAATTAGCTGCAGTGGACTTGATTCAAAGGTCACAAAAAATTTTTTCACTCAGTCCAGGTATAATTGTATGAATTAAAATAAATTTCCAGTTTTTTTTTAATTGACTCTCCAGTTTTCTCATACATGCAATAATGTTCAGTATTCATGTTTTAATGATCAAAACTCTTGAGTACCTGTACTGTTTTCAGTAGTCTCTTTAACGTATTTAATGTATGTGTGACATGCATAATTTTTTTTTGCAGAGTTTTTGACAGAAAAGAATTTTTCAGACAAAACTATGACAGTGAGTTGTTTGCATTCAAGAACAGACTAGGTTTAACTTTTCAAGATGAAAGCATTCTACGGACTGCTTTAACCCATGCATCCTACAAAGAAGAAAATACTGTTTATGATGGTGATGCTACCAATGGTAAAACATTCAGAAATAAAGAAACATCTTTTCACACGAGTGAGGACAATGGAAAATTATCGTTGATAGGTTAGTAACCCTTAACTGCAAAAGTGGACTCTCATTTAACTCAAGACTTGTTCTCCTATGGCAAGAGCACCCTAGATCAAATTAGGAAAATAATCCCATTTTTTAATTTTTGAAAATATTGATTAAAAAGGAGTCAGGCTGCTACCAATGAACTTATTTCTTGATAGCTCTCTTGTAAATGGTCACATACCAGAAGTGACATCTGCAGACTAAAAAGTTAAAACCACATTGCACAGCATTGTACATGCAACAAACAGTCTCAGCTTGTTGATGAACTGAAAGTATTGTTCAATAGCTGTGAATTCATATTTGAAAATTTTTACTATTCGCAGACAGGTCTTCTTGTATAGTATAATAAAACGGTGCCATATCAATTTTGCATTTGAAAAGAAACCTAATGACTCAAAAGTTACAGCTTGATTAATTGAGTTAAGGTTTGACTCAGAGATCATAAATATCCAATTACAAAATAATTATATGCATGACATTATAAGAGGTCTATGACATCCATTTTGGTCTTACAAAAAGTAGTTAATAATTTAGCAGTTTATGCTGGATTGCTTTTTTTGCTACTGATAATATCACATTTCTGTATTTGTTTCCAGGGTTAACAGCTTCATCACTATACATTGTTGATCATCTGTGTACCACCTACCCCTCGCTGCCCTGCCTGGGAGTTAGGTAAACTGTTCAACTATTTTTTTTTTTTATTGTAGGTACATGTAATATCTTGTTAGCAATGAAGTATCACTGGTGGGTGTTTGAGAGTTAGCTAAAACTCAGTGGCTGGATATATATGGGAACTTTAAAATTTGCAATTTTCATCTTCATCTATCATGTAAGTGTAGTTTAAGTTAAGTTTGTCTTGAGCCAGTGCTAGTCTGTGGCTTTCATGGTTACCTTGCTCTTCAATGGGACCTCAGACAGGGTCTTGCAGGTGTTACATGTATGTAACCAATAGCCTTTGCTTTTCTTTCCTTGGCAGATGCTTTCATGATTTTCTTTTAGGACGGGATATCATTGTAAAAGTATCAAAACTCATATCATTACCAGACTTGATCAGATTGGAGGTAAAGTAAATGATTCTTTCTGGATATTTTATTAATTATGTATTTGCAATTTATCTGCAGTTCTATTAACAGTGTTCCGAAAATTCTCGAAAAAAAGGTCTACAATTAATATGTAATGATGTAGTGAAGAAAATGAAAATATGTAATGTTGGCACTTTACTTGAAACTATACTCAGTTGTTTAGATGAACCTCAGAGGTCTTCATCATCAGATATCAGTCTACTGTCTATCCTCTATTTAATACAAGGGCAAAAATCACTCTTGAACATATAAAAGCTTATCTAATAATTTAGGCCCTTATGGTGAATTACGTTTTCTTCTGAAATGACCCTGGAGATGTTAATCTTTTTTATCATAGCATGACCTCGATGGCCTTTCCAAAGAGAAACATCTGGACTACAGACAGGAAGATGTCATTTGTGACGCATTCTTTGCATTTATTGGAGCAATCTATGTAGATCAGGTACAAAAACATAATTGTACTAATTAACAAAATTCATTAATTGTATTTGTTTATAAATCTTCATTCATTCACTCATTCACTTACTGTGACAAATTCATTCATTCATTTTGTTACCACTTTGTGATTTTAACCTCCAGATTGAGCAGTAACATTAAAATGTAAAAAAAAAAAAAAGTGAAGACTGTCTACTACTTCATTCATTCTTACCCTCTGCAACATTGAAATAGGGATTTTTTCTTTTCATACCTATTAACTGTTATAAGCTGGTGGTTAATATATGACTAATAATAAATATAGTAATAATTATTATTACATCAACTTACTGTTCTATTTGTAACAATTATTGTTATGTGCATGTGGGCATTTATCAATTTATGATTTTAGTACTGTTAATTCAGAGTTTACTTGATACCATTTATGTGATGATTAAGGGACCTGCTGAGGCAAGGAGATTTGTGGAAGACTTTGTCATTACTCAGCTTCAAGGAGAGGAACTTCATAAAATTCTCTACTTTGAATATCCTGGTAAAGTCCTCGATAATATCTTCACTACTCAGGGAAAAGAAAAGCCAGTTGCCAGGTAACTGGAGTCTTACTTTGTAACACTAAGTGAGTGAGTTTTGCTTTACAAAAGCCAATTTGGCAGTTTCTTGCCTAAATTTTATTGTATAAAAATATTTTTCACTGTTTTTGTTTTGTGTAGTTTGAGGTTATTCAAACTCAAAACTGAAGGACAAACAATATAAACAACAAACCTCACCGAAAAGTTACAAAACTCAAATCAAAATTCTCGCTTATCCTGAGTTAGCTTAATCGGGCTTCGAAAAACCCAGCCCTGGTCTGACGTTCAAAATCATTAGTGGTTTTAGCAAGTTTGATGCTGTTCGGATTTAAAAGACTACATCAAATGGTTTTTGTTCTATCAACGTCATGTTAATAAGCAAGTGTTTTGCCAAAAATTGCAGGCTTAGTCCATCCTTGGAATGTGACTGAAAAGGAGATTATTTTGTCATCTGTTATTAGGGGAATTTAAATGTTGTATGGGAGGAGAGTGTTTGGCTCCAAATCGCTGAGAAACAAATGCCAGAGAACCTGTTATGCGTTCAAATTTCTGCAACCGTTTCGGCATCTAGGCTCACATAGAATTTCTCCGTTACACACAGCATGTTATGCAGTGTAATGTTTTACGTAACGCTTTGTTGTCGTTGTTCACACTAACAAGAGCAAAACTTGTTTTAAAATTTGTAACGTGACGCACCATCCTGCAAGGTGCGACGTATACAAATCATTATAAATAAGTAGTATAAATCGTAACAAAATAGTTTTATTGACAACCTGTATTGCTTTTTTCTTCTTAGCCTCCAGTTACAATAAGCTTAGCGCTAGAAATGAGGTACGTTATCAGTCGGTAATAATTAGATGTCGTTTTTGTTAATCGAATGTTGTACTCACGCACTCTGACAAGTTTGCTTTCAACATGTACATGTACCTCGGCGTAAAGCTTCAAAATATTACAAATTGATGTTACAAAAATGTTTGTCGGACAATTAATGCTACGGCTCTGTATTTAAGACACATGTTGATTTTGTAATATAATGGACACAACCATTAGAAATCGCTCTGGGACTCCCTGAGTTGTAGCATTCATATGTTTTGTTGATTGTGTTTCAGGCTTTAAAGGCAGCATTAATGAAACATTGCCAAGAAGGAATGCTGATACCCTTCCCAAAGGAGCGCAAACGTGCGGAGAACGTTTCGAGCTAAAACGGCTGGAAAATACAAGTGAAGTTCTCTCACATTCATTACACGACGATTTCCTGAAGGAAGTTCGCCAAGCTATTCGAGACAAGTTTAATCATCGACGGAAACCTCGAAGTAGTGCTCTGAACTTGACAGAAAAGCAAAGGAGATATCTGGAAACAACTTGCGACAAAATTCATCGCTCGACTATTGTATCACACAATGTACTTCTTGTTTTACTGCGTGACCAATTGTTATTCTTCTAGACTGTAGATTATATTGCTGCTTGGAGTTTAACAAGATAGATCAGTTCTGCAAAAATGGTAGTGACCTATAAACTGCCAAACGTTTAACATGAAAATTCTTCCTAACTACTGCTACAACTGAAATATAATTCGCCTTGGGAGAATTCAGTATCACAACAAAATTATCCTCATTACATAATCTCTTTTGCTCGCATGCTACACGATCTCGCGACTGCCAGAATTATTGGTTTTCATTCTTTTTCCATGCTACTGCGCCTTTCAATAACATGCGGACTCTAAAATTCATAGCTCGACCGACAAATGCCATATTCGCTACCGTCAATGAAATGTTCAGCGGCTCCTCCCAGCTTCCGACTACTGCCGAGCGCGAGGTAATCAAATCGTTGAGCAAAGTTCAGACATCGAAACAGTAGTTCGGCAGTTGTCGGAAGCTGGGAGGAGCCGCCGAACATTTGATTGACGGTAGCGAAAAACGCATTTGTCGGTTCAGCTTTGAATTTTAGAGTCCGTATGTTATTGAAAGGCGCAGTAAAAATGATATGACACAGTAATGAAAAAAAAAACGCTATTACAAGATATGGTATAGAGCTACGCAAATTTACGTACAAAGATATCATTCTGTAATAAAGTCGAACCTTCGCTAACGGACACCCCAATAGGTAGTCACCTCATGTGAGCAGACACTAAGTCCTACAGAAATCTTCGTCCTGCACGGTCTCGGCCACATATATATAAACACGATTTAATTCTTAACCTCTATAAGGCGGACACTTCTAAGTGGCGTTTTTTTGTGTGTGTGGTGTCATGAGTGTCTGCTAATGAAAGATCCGACTGTATCATATTTATATGCCTTGAAAATGTGTAGTCTAAGGAGGTACAATGAGTTTCTAGGGAAATTACGGAGTGGCGGAAATTCCACGCTTCTAAGCCCCCCACCCCACCCCCCTATCACGTCGTTCTTAAACTCCTTTGCGCGCCAAAGCGAAAAACAAGATACAAGCGCTTGAGTCCGAAACGCACACACTCAAACCCAGCTCCGAACACCTGAGTCCCCAAAGGAATTGTATCGTGGTAGAGTCTGGTAAAATTAACTCGTTCAGTTGTATTTTCTACGTTTCAAACTGAAAATATCGATACGAGGTAGAAATAATATGAACTGAATTTGGAAACAAAACTGAACCACATGAAATGCTTCTTACGGAGCTGCAGCTTTGAACAATTAACGAACTATAATTTTGTAATTTTACAACCAAAATGGTTACTGATGGGACATCTTTATAATAGGTTAATTCACCAAGAACGAATTTGAACCTATAAATTTGCAATCACTAGTAATAAGGAAGCTTTGTTCTGTGGGCGTATCCACAAGAGCTCTTGCAATTACATACCTGCCAGTCTTCAAACAGTATCCGACACCTTACACGCTTGGAGAAATCCTTGATTGTTCGACAAAATACTCGCACTTGCTCCATTCAGAGAATTGCGATTTCTGTTGGCCTCTAAAGCACTGAAGGCATCGACAATCTAAGACAACTATGGGTTACTTTCCAAAAGTCAAGCTCCTAGTTTTAGCCCTCTTCGTCTTAAAATCATCAGGGCGAAATCCAGTTGACAAAGGTAACAAAAAGCAAGTGATTATGTATCATCCAAAACCACAACACTCAGGTAAGTCAAAGTGATACTGTATTTCTGTAATGGAGTAACAATTGCTTGATCAACTTGTGGATAGCGTCTCATGTAGGGAGTGAAATGGTACCCGATTTTAACTTGACAAGCTGTACTCTGAATGTCAGCGAAATTTCCGTTGTGAATTAACTACAGTGACTTCGTGTAACATGGTGAAAAGGTTCTTCTCCGAGGAGACAACTTTGTACCCGTTTTATTATCGTGTAGTTACACTTACAATTTCATCCAACGGCCTTACTATTATGTTAATTACTCCAAGTACATCAGAGACAATTGTAGAGTTGTTGTCGTCACCTTGGTTGACCTGTTTATTTTCAATTTTAATCATTTCGGCAGAGAGCATTTCTTTCAAAAGTCTCACACTGACCCAGGTTGAGATAAAATAAAAACTTCCCAGCGTGTCATAAATAATTGAGTAGACTTTACACTTGAACTGATACAATATAAATGCTGAAACTGCAACCTGCCCGGCTCCATTGTTCCTAAACAGCTATTGTTCTCTACGGTAACGAAGGAAGCGGTCAAAGCGAGGCTGACAAGGAGATGGTGAGTTTTTACTATCTAATGGAGCTTGTTTCCTTAATTCTATAACTGAACAATTGAAATGGTGCAGTCGAACGTCTCTAACAAGACCACTAAAGGGCAAGAACAAAGTGTCTGTTTTATGGAGGTGTTCGTATCAATGGAGGCAGAGATCATATAGAGGTGTTCGAATTATGAAAGTGTCCGTAAGGAGAGCTTATGGGAGTACTTTGGGGGTGTTGTGTTCTTGGGGTAGCTCAGTAGGCACTTGACTCTCCCAATATAGTGT